CAAGTGCTGGCTAGAGAGTTTGGAACTTGTAAGACACTAATGTGATTTTTCAAGAAAATCATGGTTTTAAGAGGCCCGGAAGGGCAAACTTTAGCTACGTTGCTACCAAGAGAACATACCCAAATTGCGGGCCAGATCGACGAGTCAATGCTGGTAAATATGAGCTGGAACGATTCCGAATATTTACCAAGTCGCTAGTTGCCACGTATCTGGCAAATGAAATGCAAAGACTGATAGTCATGGAAAGACATGACAACTTACATTTATCCCTACAGTCAAGCCTATTTTCTATTTTATACTACATCCACAAAACAAGGCACTTTCATAAAACAAATGTGCCTAAAGGGTAAAATACACGTCTCTCATTCTTGTTTTTCAAGAGTACACAGAAAACAATATTAAATCAATACTAAAATAATACAGGATCAGTATCATTAAGTTAAGTCCAAGATCAATGCACTCAATTCACTTTATTAATTTATTGTCTTTCTTACTTTCATTTATTTTTCTCTGCTCACAGCTGAGATCAGCTCTCATTTCTTTTAACATGTCCATTCCTCATAAATGTGAGTCTCTGCGTCTAGCTTATCTGTCATAAATATTTTCCTTTATCTCTCTAACCATAACAGACCTATATTAACAAAGAATTTGCTATCTGCTCTTAAATATTGGTCTTTCACAGAGCAACTTCCCCAGCTCAGATAAACAAATACAATAATAATCCATATCATTCCCACCAATCTGAAAAGACTTAACTGATTATGTTATGCTTAACTATATGGTCATGTTTGGCTCTATCACTCCAGTTTAAATCTTTTGTCTGCATCTTTAAGTCACATGTAGTAAAAGAAAAACCTTAGCAAATCCATTGCTCATCACTCTCTACAAAAGTTCCAGAAACAATCTCCGATTCCAAAACATTAGCACCTACCTTCTGAACACAGATACCAGAATCATAACATTATCTCTTTGTTAGACTGAACAGTAAAGCAATTTTGCAAACAAAATTGTTCCCTAATAGTATCTTCATTAAAGAATAAAATTAAAAAAATGGATATTCTGTATAAAACATCTTAGTAATTTGCAATAAAATAATTCCCCAAAGCATACGAATGATCGTTGACATATGAAGTGCATATCATTGAAACAGTCAGCAATTCTTTGAATTCTAAACCATGCTCTTTCTAAGGCACATAATTAATAACAATGAACTTCCTAGTATACAATTTTCTCTCAGATACATATGGCATGTTTCTAGCATATTATTGGAAAAACTGTTTACAATTTGTATTTGAGATTATTTCTCCACTAGTCAAGAAAAACGTGAACTCATCAGCTTTCTCAGTATTATTTCAAACAAAATATTTCTAAGAGATAAAAACATGTTACTAAAACAATTTTTAAGACGATAAATTGATTCAAAACATTCTAGTAGTCTTTACCACATAGTTCTCTCTGGGAATGTTACAGAAATTAGTGTAAAACTAACTACCAGAAGTAGCCTCTCAAGTACCTGCTTATGCTCTATTTAATTAAAAATATTAACAGTACTTAGTTTATATTAATTATCAAAATTATATTAACACAACATAGCTTCGCTTTTTGGAAAATGGTGATGGATTCGGATTCTCTAAATTCAATAAGTTAATGAAGATAATTGACATAATAAAAAAAAAAATACTGAACACAAATCCAAATCTACATCAGCTTAGTGCATTTCAAAATTTACATTACTGACATTAAATGAGAAGAAATAACTTTCAAATTTTCAGCTGACCCTGTTTGGTGAAGATTCAGAATAAAATAATATACGAGTCTCTTCGCTCTATGAAAGTAAATTGAGATTATGTCTATAAGATATAAATAAAACAATATCTTAAAATTGAATTCATTACTAGAGTCTTCAAAAATGTATTAGTGTATAAATAAAAGAACAAGAGAATTATTGTGTTCTGAAATCAAATACTAACACACAACCAGAAAGAAGAAAAATGTCAAGAGAGTGAGTAGGAGGAATCTGTCATGACTCATTCTTTAACACTAATTTACAGTGATTCTGTAATACCTCTTCACAATTAACTGCCAAATTCATATACAACAAGCATTAATATCTAACAAGTGCATGATATAATAAAATAAAAAATAATACAGGTTTATACATAGTCTACAAAACAATTTATAAATGATGTACATAAAGCTACTGTGGGGTTATTTCATTAAAAAGAAATACACCTTTTAACACAATTATTCCCATAATATTCAAGAAATGACTATATGAACAGATTGATAGACCATATACAATATTATTGTAAATAAATATTATACCTGAATTTGCAATTCAATTTACATTTCAATTATCGGAACTATCATTTTCAATATCGTAGTTAAAATACAAAACTAGACTATCATACACAGCAATGTCATCGTACCCAAACCCACACAAGTACTTATCAGGATAATGTTAAAAATATTATAACAAATTTTAAGTAAAAAATTCAACTACACAATACTTTGGGTATATATACTATTTATTACAGGTTTGTCCGTCATGCAATTTACATATAGGAATATTGGTTCAAACAGTTTCGTCAGACGATTAGAAATTAATGAATGCAAAACAGAATTCATTAACATATTAAATATTGCTGTTTCACGACAAGTTCTGATAAATTAACTCATGCGCAACGAGAATGAATCGAAACACATAATATGGAAAATTGTCAGTCATTCGCGCTTATTTCATTCGGCTACTTTTATTGAGGTTACACTCTACTGGTAAAACTGTCGGGTAAAGCGAATCATCATACTTACTCTAAATCGGCTGAGTATAACACCCATATTGAAGTCTTTAAACCGTCGTCAATTGCTTATGAAAGGAATATATAAATTTTCACAGGTCCAGATGGTCAGAACCTAATAAATCACATCGCATACTGCATTTTCTGCACGAAGAAACCGGACAGTCGGCATGCTCTAACGTGTCTTACAGCTGGCTTCAATGCTCCAATGCGAATCCAGCTCCAATACACTAGCAACAATCGGTAACTGTATGAACTCCACAGTATCACGGAGAATCATGTACAGACAAGGCAACGAAGCGGACCGCGTTTCCCAGATGTTCGTTGTCTAATCAGTGCTGCCAACAACTTAGGGTGTAGGACCAACACAAGTGACCAAAATCCACTTCAGTTCAGAGTTTCTCAGGGCTTCCAGTGGCGGCCACCATGACGGGATGTGGGGATGGGTGTTATGTGGATGATTTTGACTTTTAAGATAACATACAACGAAGAAAAGAATGTTTTGGATCCTCAACTTGTGTGAACCACAATTTCTTACCACTTATTAAATACTTTGCTTTTAGTTGAATTGTTTACTCACAGTCAAGATGGCCTCTTAAAGCTTATATGCGGGTTGTATGCGGCGAAAAAATAGTGTCACAGCTATTCTTATATTTTACATAATGGCAACAAAAGGACGAATTGAAAGCGCGGGCGATTCCCAAGATTTTGACAAGTGTAATGACGAAGTGGATCCACGCGTTCAGGTAAAAGTGAGATGCAACGTATGTTGTTGGGGCGCTATTTAATTTTCCATGTTAAATTATTTTGTATGTATGCAGATCGAATTGGAAAGACTCAACACTGCAACAGATGACATCAATAAATTGGAAGTGGATCTGGATGTAAGTTGTTTTATATTTATTATTCTTATATTTTGTTTACACAAAACATCACTTCAGTTAATTGACATTCAGATTGTCTTCTGAACAGCCTTAGAAGTTTTAAGTATAATGTGAAAAATTAGGTGAAGTCAATAGTAAATATGTATTCTTTTTTGGTCCTTTCGTTAAATGTTCGAAACAAAATATTTATTTGAAGTGTTACGTAAATGCTATATATTATTTCTTATATTACTTAATAACAGTTATGTTTCAAGTACAAATTATTGCATTAATATGTTAAATGCTGATTATAATATACAGAAAACTTAGCAGTAAGAAGATATAATATATTAAATGAATTAGTGGAGAAACATTGTATAGTTAAATTTCCTATGGAAATTCGATTTAGAAATATTTTAAATAAATAGATGACATATTTTTCTAGAAAATGTTGAAGGGGACTTTTTTTTAGAGAAAAGGAAGAAAGAGCCATTTCCTTTTTTAATTTTATTGTATTTAATATTCTGGGTTTTTGTACAATAATTTTTAATATCTGAGAAAAACTCATCTATTTTCTGAATTTTTGACTGATATTTAAGAAGTGTAAGTTAGTTCATTTGATTATGTTTTCATAATATTGGAGTTCTCAGAACAGGTATTATAAGTTTCCAAATTGTTACTATAATGTTCAGTTTTGTAATAAATACTTAAACAATGCTAAACCACATGTCTGTTTTCAACTGACGTAAATGAGTAAATTCTCTACTGCCATTTAATCTGTAAGTGCAGTAGATGAAAGTCTGTCTGTAGTCTGGTACCTGTGAATGTAAATAACAAAATGCCAAGACATTTGCTGTGGAGCAAGCAAGCTTGGAGCCATCCAAACCAAATGGCCGAGATCGTTAAGACAGTAGTGCCATAGCGATGTAGGTCCGAATGATTGCGGGTTTCGAGTCCGGCCTCAGGCATGGTTGTATTTGTGTTCATCCTTTCACCTTGTATTATCACCATATCATGTCATCTTCACAGTTAACATACCGTTAAATGCAATAGTGGTAGCTAATGAACTAGATGCTAATGCGACCTAACAGAACAAAAAGCAAGCTTGAATTTCAGATTACGTTATAGTAAATCTTTTCAATATTTGGTTGCATTGTGCAAGTGTTAATTTAAACCATTTAATCACATACTTCTTGTATGATGGATACTTCGTAGTGTGTCTAATTATTTTTAGTTTATAAAGTATATTTCAGATAATGCTGTTATTAATATTTATTGGAAAGTTCCTTTAGATCTGAAGAAGATTTTCATTGACCTTATATGTTTCTGATGGTTTCTTTTAGGCTGCATTACTTAATTGCATAGTTGTATTAAAAGTTGGCATGAAAAATTTCTAGAGTTGTCCTGAAATAATTATATGACATTGTATTTGCTCAAAAACTTCAAGATTATGTTTTGACACACTGACACTTCACAAACTGCTTGTATTTTCTTTACTAACTGAAGAAGTTAATTTAGCTATACAAACAAGTTTTTCCTTAATTTGTTTCTGTAAAACTGTGGAATAGCTACATCCTATTTTGCCAAGATTTTTATATACATGTGAATTGTAAAAGAATATGGTGTGGTCAAAATATATAGTGCTACAATTTTTTGAAATTTTAAAATAATTTTCCTCCCTCTATCTCCATCACCTTGCGATGTATTACAACATTTATATGAAATCACAACTAAGTGACCATAGTCAAAACCTACACATTTCTGTGATGTTGTAATATTAGCCAATTGATTTAATTCTGACTAGTTCTAAAATCCCTGTATTAACGTGTGGGTGGTATATTCAAAGTCTTGTGTATGTTGAAGGATAAGTAATTTCACATTTGAGAGTATAATTTGTAAACAGTATTTTATGAAAATTTGTAAGAAACTTACAATTGTCTTCATACATCTGTTATAAATCTATACAGTAAATAAAATTCTGTATTAAAGTATTAAACTGTAAATTTGCCCATAAACTTTTTCCCCATTACAAATTTACTATTTATCTTTATATATCTGTCTTATATTTTAAAAGTTATTTAGCACTCAGAGAAAATATTTTCTGTTGATTTCACCCCACTTCAGTGAACAAAGTAGTATACTATTAAATCATAATTAATATTTTATATTAATAGCTGTATTAATAATTAATATTTTTTATTAATTTTATTATTATTTTGAATACTTAAATCACTGATTTTTGTCTGATTATGATGGAAAAGTTTTATTTGATTATTTTTTTCCCGTTGAGGTTGATCAAAGATAGACAACATTTATCCTAAAGTGATTTCTTTCTTTCTCTAGAGTGGAAAAATGTAAATAAAAAGTGAAAATAAACTAATTCATTGTTTCATGGTGTAGAATAACACTATAGATAATAGTAATTTGATATTATCAATATGTTATATAATCAATATGTCAATTTGATATATTTTGTTTGTTGATAAATATTGTTTGATATATCAATATGTTAATATAATTAATATGACTGTCATGTGTACATCAATATTTGCAGATAGTAATGAACATTTTTGGTGTGTTTTCAGAATAGCTTTTAAATATTGATAGTCAAGCTAATAATTGTATGTATTTAATCAGTGCTGGAAACATCTTGTAATATTTGTGCATTCCTTCATGAGGTATTTGATTTTGAGTTTGATTTTTTATTCTGTGATTTTCTTACTAGGAAGCAAGAGCTGCTTTTCGACAGCTGCTGTGTGAATCGACTGTTCGTATTGATGCATTGGCAAGGAAGCTTGGAGCATGTGTTGAGAGAGCACGGCCGTATTATGAAGCAAGAATGAAAGCCAAAGAGGTATGATATATTGACAATTTAATTTGATTATTTTGATTTGATTGTTCATTTTTGTGTTTTATAAGTTATTAGGAGACTTGGTAGGTTTTACTGGTTTCAAACAATATGTCAAACCTGTAAAGTTAAAAACAATTTTTTTGTTTTGTACAAGGAAGGTTGAGTGTAAATTGAAAGTGTTAATTAATATGAAACAAGCTGTTTAAATTATAAATAAGATTAAAGTAATTTTTTTCTGTGGAATACTTAATAATAAGATAATTTTTAATATTATTTCTTCTCAAGTGCTAAGAACTTACATAGATAATTTTGTAAAACATTAATGTTTTAATATTAATTAAATCCAATTTGAATGGCAAGTGTCGTTAACTGAATTACTTAACTGTGCTTCATGAAGTCACAGAAGTTAAGCAATTTGAGATGTAATGATTTCCTAAATGAATGATAGTCTAGAAACTGGTTATGAATGGCCCCAAGCCCTGAAGGGATAAAAGGCACTGGCTGACTGTGATGTGACAATACAAAGAGACAAGTTACGGAAGGATTACTTGAAAACACTCAATATTCAAGAAGGGTTAGGAGGTAGGTTACAAAATGCAACAAATAAAGAAGGAAATAGCTAGTGAGTATGTTATGTGTGGGATGAGAAGAAAGCCTTTTTATATTATGAGAGTCCATCTTGGCATTTGTTTAAAATATTAATAAATATAAGGAAAGTTTGATTTAGAGTAATCGCAAATAGAAAAAGGGGTATACAGCAATTCTAAATTGATTAGGAAAAAATTGCATGTACTTCTGAATGATTTAAAGACAATCCCTGTAAAATGTTTTGTCACATTTAATTTCTTTGTGCAATGAACTTGTTCTTGTGTCAGTGTTTTCTGCGTAAGTTATTATTTTTTTAAACTAATTCTCCATTACTTGCCTGAAGTTATGTGGTTCGTTATGTATGTTGCATGTAATGTTGAGGATGATAACTGATTTTTATTTTCTGTAGAAGCATTGCTTTCTGTGCATAATTTCCCATTGCCTTGAATTATGAATGTAATGTTCGGTCTTATGAACTTCAAAAACTTAAAGAAAGTTACTTTTATGCATGAAGGCAGTGAGCATGTTGCACACCTATTCTTGTTAAAATGTCACTTTCCTGACATGTTTATGGAATGAGTTTCTTTAAATGTTAAATATTTCAGGCATTGCAAGAAACACAGCAGGCTGCAGTTCGTTTTGAACGTGCTAATTCTGCACATTCAGCTGCAAAAGAGATGGTGTACTTGGCGGAGGAGGGATTGGCTGCTGAGGGGCGAACTTTCGATCATGCCTGGCAGGAGATGCTTAATCATGCTACCATGCGCGTAAGTTATAATAATGTAATCTGTTTCTTATGAAGTCTCATGCAAGCCTCATAATTTTGTTTTAATTCCATTGTAGATATTAGCTGTTAAAGTAAACCCAAAGTTGTTAGCTTTGTTGCCATATTTGTGACAAATTTACAAAACTGTATTTTTTTTAATTTTTTTATAAATTTTAAAAAGACAGTCCTTGTAAGGTATTTAAATTTATTTGTCTCTGATAATAAATATTAGATCTTTCCTTGAGTCAGGCAATTAGAAAGAAGACTCTTGATTGATATGTGAGTGTTAATCATTCCATGGCTGATCTTTAATTTTATAACAATAAGCATTAAGAGAAGGTTATTCTATAGGGTTTCAAACATACTGTAATCAAATTATTCCTATTGACAAAAAATAAACAAAGTAAGCATGTGATAAATTTTCAATGGGTTACATGTATACAAACATTATTTATCTAACCTAATATTAAATATGCTTGATGTAAGTTTAAATGCTAATTTAAATTTATGGGTATACAGATGATACTCCTCTCTTCCCTCTTAAAGAAAGCTTGGTGACAAGTGTTATTTCTGTAACTCCATAATGTAGAATAACTATTTGTTACATCACTAATGAGGTTTTCTAAAATTTACTTTCAACATTTTTGCTTCGTATATGGCTTGTAACATTCCTCCTGTCCAGACAAGTATTAGCAAATGAATTGTGTATATACTATTGCAAACATTTCAAGGAACAATTCTGAAGACCATATTAGATTTGAATTTCTGCTCTTTTATTCTTTTTTGTATCACATTCTCCCGTGTATTATCAGGTATTGCAGAGATTAATTTATCCATAAGGCTGCAACAACTTTTGTAGTCCATGTGGTAAGTACTAGTGCTATATCTTGCAGAGAGTTCAAAACATAGTTAGGTTTCTGGATTTCAAAATAGCAGAAACTATGGTTGATTCTACTTTTAAATTATATACTATATTAAATTTGACCAAAGATAAATTAAAAGGACAACATCATCTGTAGAATAGTATTTGTTTTAGGATCCGTTGTCAAATGGGCTTAAACTCGTATCTTTCCAAAATTTAAGCAACTGAGATGTCCAAATATTTTCAGTTTTTTTTTACGTATTTATTTTTAACTAATATTTTGTTTTCTATGATTAGAGATAGCATACAACAATAGTCTTTCAAATTGAACTTTTATATTAATATATAATTAGGGAGGTATGCTTATTTTAAAAGTCCATGTGTACTTGTTTTGATCCTTACAAGTTTGTACATACATATGGTTGTGTGTGTAAATTGAAAAGAATTGTGTAAATTTGGTTCATTTTTATTTCTGTGTTAATTTTTCTTTTCTTTCTAAATAAACATATTCATTTTTGTAAATAATAAGCAATTTACACGTTTCTGGAGTGTTAATGTTTCTGTTAATGTTAAATTTTATACAAGTGTTTCAAACTTAAAGAAACAACAGGAGCATTCTGTGGCTTTTAAGTTTAAAAAAAAATTAAAATCCTGAATATACCTGGTCTTTTACAGTAAGTGGTTAATACTTCAGTCTTTAAAAAATGTTTTATGACTAAGGTTCACAAAATATGAAGTTCACATTCATAACAGTCTCATTTATTTTATCTTCTGTATTTCATAAATTATACTTTTCAAAATTCCCTCTCACTGTATTCTCAATTGACATATTTTTGGGGATGAAGTGCATGTGACATAGAGATGAAGGATCGTATTGTCTGTCCTACCAACTTACGCCTGTATGCGTTAACCAATATCTAGTAGAAGGTAGTAATCTAGTCTGTTTTAATTGTGTGCAAAGAGCAAACAAAATACTGGAATATGTTAAACATAATGCGGTTTCAATGTAATCAAAGCATGATGCAATGCTTAACTTCCTAACTCTCTCATAACTCCAGAATGTTATACTGCCTGAACTTACAGTGATGAGGGAAAATCCTCATGGACTGTCAAGGTTTAAATAAATTATAATTCAATAATTAAATGGGAAACTCGCTCACTCTTCATAAAATTTCCTACTTCTTGTAGAACAGGAATTCTATTTCACTTCATATTTTGACGTATGAAATTTATGCAAACCTTCTTTCATCTGGTGAGCACTTATGAACTAAACTATACTTAATAATACATAATATGTTAGACACATACATTAAGTGAATTTATCACAGGAAGGATGGAAGGGTTGAGGAACAAGAGGGAATGAGGAAGAGCATTGTACCTTCAGGCAAAAAACAAAGAGTAAATTAATATTTTTTCACATGATGGTAATGTTTGTGATCATGAGAGAATATTGCTGTATTATAAGTTTTACATCCACTGATCACTTATGTAAATCAACAGGTGAATGAATCTGAGCGTGAACGGACTTTGAGTGAAGCTGAACACCGCCGCACTTCTCAACAATACCATCGAGCTGAATTACGAGTTCAACAGCTACAAAAAGAATTGAAGAGGGCCATTGCTAAATCAAGGTGTGCCAACTGGACAGCTTGTGGTGCATGTTTGTATGAGGTTCTACAGTTGTCAGCACTGCTGGTGTGAAGGTAGCTGCACTTCCCTGGAAAAGTGCTGATTAGCACTGAGTGTGATTATTCCAATGTCGAGAAGTTACGTAAATGCTTTCTCACTGAATTTTATTCAGTTTATGCCTTGTTGAGGATTGTGAATTATTGAGAATGTCTGTTTGTGTGCGGGAGCGTGTATGTGTGTCTGTTGAGTTTTAATCTTCTGTTTCCAGCCTTTTCACATTTATATAGAAATCAATAACAAACTGTGGTTGCATTGCCTGTTTCCAACAATAATGTCAGGGAACTCAGGAGTTAAAGGATATGTATCACAGATTTTGTGAGATTTTTGAAATTAAGTCATAATTTTATGTTCCCTACTTCACAAATATAAAGAAATATGAAAGTGAATATGTGTTTTTGTACCAATATTTTTTTGAGTTCAAGAACATGTACTACTGAATAGGAATACTATTCATGTTTTGAACTAGATCCACAATGTTGCATTAATGTTGTTGTGACTCATATTTAATACCAATTTTGACCTGATATTGAAAATTGTCGAATCTTCTACATTCTTGCATGTATATTTTTCATCCTTTTTTCTTTTTGAACTCTTAAAAGGATAGTATTCTTCACCTCTGATTATCTTGTGTGCTTATTTTGAATTAGCTGTCTGCACCACACGATCTCTGATTATTAAAATGCTTATTAATGCTATTCTCAACAAGCTAAATATTCTATTCTTGCTGTTGATCCAGGAATGAACCAAATTTCATGAACATGATATTTATTTCAATTAAAAGTTCATGGTAATGCTCTGAAAATATTATTTCCCAGAAGTTAAATTTTCTGCTGTAGATAATGCATGTAAATGCAAATCTGACTAAATTTATTCTATTTTACTTTTTTTAAAATTTTTTGTGAGGAAGTATTTATTTGAAATAATAATTCCTAAAAATGTAATTTTGTATTTTAAAATATTTAATGTGAAGAAACAGTAAAGGAGAGGAAGAGACATAACTTGTTTGATCAATCATTGATGTACAATGCTGGTGCACAATGTTTGTATCACAGTTTCTTACTTTCTACTTAATTTTCATTATTTTAGAAATCTAGTGGTTTTATAGGTATGTGCAAAATATTTTAAAAATCAAATCAATAATTTTTTGAAAAGAAAACTGTTTGTTTGTTAATTGTATTTCCCTTTGGATTTAATGTAGTTGTTTGAGAAAAAAGATAAACTTTTTTCTCCATTTTCTACGTGTCTTGTATTAAAAAGGAGACGAAGAAATGATAGCTGGTCAGTAATTTAGTAATGAATAAAAACATATTACATAATTCTAGTTATTCCATGAAATGTAAACTAGTGTGAGGAAATTCTTGTATTAATTTTCATATTTTTATATCAGCAAAAAATTACCTTAGTTATGCGAAAATGTTTGAATAGTTGTGTCATTCACGTCATGTACATATTATGTAGTTATGAAGGAACATTTAAACTTAATTGTTGAGGTTGACTTTCTGTTCTATTATTTTGCTGTATTGTACACTATTTTGGTGCTAAGTCATTTAGCTCTCTTTCATATCTGAAAGAATTAAACTAAGTCATTAGCTTTTAAGTTTTAGATATTGTTAGTTATTTTTTATGTCCTTTTGTTACCCATTATCCATTTCATTGTATTGTCAGAATGCAAGGAGTTGTGAATGTTATAAGTATTGATAACTTCATTGAAACTAGTCCATCAGATTGTTAAAGAGAGTTATTTTTGTATAATTTGTATTAAATATTATATTTCTTTTTTAAAAAACATTTGCTTTATTTTTCTTTACATTATGCATCCTGCATGAATATATTTAGAATGTTTTTGTGTAAAGCAATGTATTCATGTTTCTAACAAGGGATATGCAGTCTATTGTTCATGCTTGCAGTGTCTGACAACTATGCATGTGGCATGCATATGTTGCTCTGACTGCTACCTTTTTGATTATTCATTTTAATTCTGAATTTATTATGAACTTATCTCTTGTTTCTTTCTGTCTAAATACTGGGATTAATTAATAAAGAACAATCAAACTGTGTAGATAGCATGTAGAGTTAGTACACAGTAAGCTTTTCATATTTTGACATGCTTCTCTCCAAACTGTTTTCATTGGCAACCTTCTTCTACTTCTATTTTTTATTCAGTTAGTTTCTGTAAAAATAATTAAATTAACACACCAGACAATGAGATATGGTGTGTGTGTGTGTTTTTTTATTTTTATATCTGTGTATTTCCGGCCTCACTATTTCAGTTTTCACTAATACTGTCAATGGAGGCCTCCTGGTATTCATCTTGCAGTGCCTGAGGTGATGTAAACCAAGAAAACACGATCGTATTTATCAATGTTTTGTGGCATAATAATGGCTCACGGGCTAAAATGGGATTTGGTTCAATACCGAGAATTGAAGTCGAAGTTAAAACTAATTAATAGCATGTCCGTAACATGATGTTCCTTAACATGTTTTGTACAATGGCTGCAAAGAATTTCATTAAGTTTTATACAGTGAGTAATAATAATCTCGTGTATTAGGTAGATTTGCAAAGGAATGAGTGTTGTTGAATTGCTCTATGTTAACTGGTAATAAAATGACCAAAATTTAATGCACAGTGAATTTCATTGTTTGATAATTTACTGCTGTACACCTTGCAATAGCAGTTACATTTCCGTGATTTTCAAGTACATGTGATGTTATCGATTGCTCTTGCCTCCCATTGAGAAAAACATTCATATGTAATGATAGTTTGAAAATATTAAGTTAGGAATTCAAAAATGTGTACTTATTTTCTTTTTCCATGCATATATCATTTATCTTTATATTTGTAACTGTAATTTTGCTAACAAAGTTGCTTTTTTTTTTTCATCAAATGGTTATGATCGTCTCTAAGGTGTCTGACTTTGGCCATTGATGCACCATTTCATAGTTACAAATTCAAAACTTCAGTAAAACTTTATTTTAGCTTTCTCACTATTCATGTTTTTCAGCAGTTAGCCATTTTTCCTTGGTCCCAACATAATGTTTGTTGCTACATTACATTTTCTTCTCTCAATAGCAGTTTGGTACAAACAGTACTTCCCATAATTTGTAGATTTTTTGTCTTGCAACTTTTCATTTTTAAATTTCAGCAGAAGTTGTCCTGATAAAGCTGATTCCAGTCTGTGGTATTTTGTGTTGCTTTGAATTGTGGTGACTAGTGTTTCCTGGAGGTGAATTATTTTCTAACTTCCAACTTCATACAAAATCAAGTGGTAGGTGACAAAGACTTAAAAATATATTACACTTTTGCATTTTACTCATTTTTTTCCCTATCCATCCCCTGAAAAGTGTGGAAATGGGGTTTCACTGTATGTTTATAGTGTTTTTAGGCATTAGTTTGATATGAGATCAGTGTTTTCATTTAATACTAAGAAATAATGTTGTACCAAAAATGATTTTATTGTTTATTTTGTTTTCAGAGACCTTTTATATTTGTTACATATATATATTGAAATTTATTGGCATAACTAAGTTAAGAACATTCTGTCATGGACATGTTAAACATACTTTAATTACATGAAAATTTGAGGTAGGATGACAGTGTAACGTTCTCTCTTGAATTATTAAATACTAATAATCTTATGAGAAGTGAAATTAAAATTTGATCTATCCTCGTATTAGTCAGATGCAAAATTGAATTTATTATGGTCTATGTTATGTTCATATTCACTGCCTCAACTTTTCTTTGGTGTGAAATTATTTTTAGATTAATCAGAATAAATTTCAAAATTTCTGGGTGAAAAAGAAAATGTTTAAATATGAATGTGTCCTGTGTACTGCATGTATAAATATGCATCAAGAAATATTTAGGTGCACTCTAATGCTAAAATAGTTATGTAAAAGTCTTGGTGGATTAGCCTGAGAACTGAATAACCTTTTAGTGGCAATTAAAGGAAAAACACTGCAGGTTTGTAGATCTATATTCTATTTTTTAACTAGCGTGTCTTGAAAATTGTTTCCTTTGTTCCATTTTACCTAAAAACTTACTGAATTTTTGCATTGAAAAGTGTTCCTTTCCAAGCTAATATTGAAAAGCCTCTACACCTCAGTCATCATGCTGCTCACAGTCGGAGTGGTAAGGACATCCTTCTTGTCTGTCGGCAGCCTCAACGCTCGCCGTAGTTTGCTGCAGATAAATGGTCTCGCATACCAGTACCAACTTCAGCTCCTGTAAGTACTTGCTGGCTTGTGCCAGTCTTTGCCCTCTCACAGCATGTGCTCTCTGATCTTACTGTTACTCTATGACTTTAAATTCTGATCATTTTTCTAAATGCCTTATTTAAGTTTCAATCCTGTATCGTATTTCTCTTCACTTCTGTTTATTTTGTATGTCCTATATTTTGGGTGGTACCTTCTCTTCTCTGTTGTCTGCTTCTTTATTGAGAACATCTAATGCACATACCTGATCATATGCATTTATTATTTTTGTACTGCATTCACTCATTCAAATAACTTAAGATAGCTGTTATGGATCACTGAGCTAAGCTTTATGATCATTGAAACTAAAGGTATCTTTTTTGCAATTGCTCACTTTTTACCTGGCCAGAGAATACTTTGAGGTTTTTAAGAAAGCCAAAGATGTGAACTACTGAATTTGCATTCTGAGCACAAGCAATTGAAGGGTGTGCTGTGCTGAGAAGAGACCTGAAAGTTCCAGGGAGAATGGAGACGGGAAAGATTAGAGGTGGAGCTAAAAGATTAATCTGTTGAAAGCCTAATGCCAGGATGCAGCTATTAGTTTCTACAGAAACTAGTCCCAAGTGCGTGAAAATGTAATTTGGTTGAATTTCCTAAGGAACTGCTATTTGGGGACCTAGATAAATGGGCTTTTACAGTTGATGACATGTTCACAGAAAGAAGGTGTGGATAATGACCTATATGTTGATTTTGTGATTATAAAAGTCAAACTTATGATTTCTTCAAGAGGTCTTAAAAAAAAAATTATGTTGCGAGTTGTTAATGAATACAATTGATCTAACCTGCCCAAGGTTCTCATTTTAATGAATCGTCAGACATGTTCTGTGGCAATTTTTAATACGGTTCATTACAGAAAACAACTGCTCACAAATTTATGTAGAAACAACCCTCAGGTAAACAATATCTAATAATGCAGCATTTCCTGATAACCAGGTGAAGGTGCAATCTACCATGGGAATTTCCCTCTGAAGGCTTTGCTCTAGTCCCTTCGTTATTCTTCTTCCTCCTTTTAGGCTTGTAAGCTGCTAATAAATATGTTCTCTGGGAATCTATTTTTATTTTGCTGCACATTATTGAACATTTTTTGTTAAGGAATGTTAGAAGAAATCCTGTGAAATGAAAATATTTTCTTGAATGGGTTGCGATGTCATAAAGTCTGAAAAGTAATGCAAACACTTAATCCACCCTGTGTGATTTCAAGCTCCTTTGGGAAGATCAAAAGACGTAGCCTTGCTAAGAAGCCCTACTTCCGTCATTTTCATCTTTTTCTTATTTTCACATGTATTCATATATCTCATCTTGGCTTTTTTGTTCTTCCAACATCAGTACATAAAAGAGTTTGTGTGTGTCTGTGTGTGTGTGTCTTGTAGCTTCTAATTATAAATTATTTATCAAAGCATCTAAAATAACAATACTATTTGTGATTGATAAAAGATATAATATTCACTTTGAAATCCATTTTTATTTAATACTGAATAATAATTTTACTTCATATTTTTTAATGTGATTCTTATAATTGCATTTGCTTGAGGACCTGTGAGTAATTTGTGAATCTTAATAAACGTTTGGACATACAATTTCAAAAATTTGCATTTATCTGTTTTACATAGTTACATGTGAATAAGACATTAAATATTGATAGTATTGACAGTTTCTCTTCAGAGATCTTTCTATTCTTCTAATTGAAAGGTTAATAGATAAAATCAGAGAAGCAAAATGGTGATGTGCTTTATGTTTAATTAATGGATACTGTAGTAACAAACAGTACCAATATTCTTTAAAAATATATGTACGGTATAATGAAAAGGGGATTGTTGTTGTGGGTACTATTTGAAGTCAGTACAAGATAAATAGGTCTGATAAACATTGCTCTTACAACAAATATTTTCTTGATGTTGAACAGTTGTTATAAACACAAGAGATGTTCGATTTTATATTCTTCCATTGTAATTAGGGTTGCCAACTTCCACCAAAGTAAAAGAAGGACATCTCAATTATTTTAAGAAAGACGTTACATATGTCCATCTCAGAGCTGAAGTATACTTTTATTCATGAACATATACAAACCTTAAACTGGTGTGAATTCTCATAACATTTAATATTGAAGATGTTAATCATTTTGTGATATTAGCTATTGTGAGGGAGGGAGTAAGTAGAACTTACTTGAAGTTGGATGTAGCTCTGTAGCAATTTTGAAAAACATATTTCATTTTGAGGTCAATAGAGGATGAGAGGACAATCCGTAACCCTGGAAGGCTGCCCTTCCAAATGGAGTTAGATTGGCAACCGTAACTAATATATCTTTTTACTCTACACCTTCCCCAATCCAAATCACGATAAAATATAATCTAGAATCTACTTTTAGTGCAGCAACTAAAGACATTACACACATTTCATGTGATTAGTCCTTCTAATACATTGTCAGTGGTGTCCACTTCATCTATAAACAAATTCATTGCTGTTAAAAGTGGGTCTTGAATAAACATTTGTGAATTACAGAGTAGTGGTCTTGTGGCTTAAAGGCT